CCCCAAAACCCCAAAACCCCAAAACCCCAAAACCCCTAATTATAAATGATAGGTTGACTTATTATGAGAGAATGTACTTAAGTTATATAAAACTAAAAATGGAGTTAAATGAAATGAAGCCATACCATAATCACATATGGATAATTGTAATTATCAAAAGATGTGTGCAAGTGATAACAATATAAAGAAAATATATCACAAATCGAAGGTATTCTTTGCCTAAAGCAACTAATATTCTAATAAATTATTGCTTTTGGTTTACTGATATATTCTAACTTTGTTCATTGCATATATCCTTCTTATTTTATTTAAACTCCAAAATATTGTTTTATAATAGTTCCTCCATCCTCTTGCAACTTTTTAGAGGAGTGTTCCATTGCGGAAAAGGATGCTCAATATTAGGTAAGACCTATTTTTAATTTAATTGAAACAAAAAGTTCAGTTTGTTACTCCTTCTGCCATCAGCTGTTAATTCATGTCAAAAGCTTGTTGAGCTTTTCCTGTTATTACCTTTAAATAGTCACTGTTCAGGGATAGGAACGCCAAAGGGTCATTTTTAGCAGCCTAAGAAGTAAAGATTAAAATAAAAGTGCTTACTTTCAAGGGGAAACCTCTGATTCGATTTCAGTGCCGCACCCAATTTTTGAGCCTAAGAATGGTTAGCAAAGCTTACTCATTATACACTCTTTGCTTTCTTTGGTTGATTATCTGATGCTCTATTTTCCTCAATCTTTGCCTCTGAGTTTTATGATCCTGAAGAACTCTCCAGCAGGAGAATAAAGTTCTGAGTCAATGTTGTCTGTGAATAAAATTCATTTTACGAATAAGTTCTTCTCTTTCTAATTTTTCTCTATAAAATATACATTGGATCTATTAAGCTTTAAATGATAAAGTCTATATTTTGCCCCTTTCAGAAACCCAAACAATCAACATTGCGAATGATTGATTCTGAATAGAGATGCAATGCTTATTATTTGAAGTAACGGATGCGTTCCGTTTATGTTGGAAATATGAAAGAGAATGAGCTTACTCAGCTGCAATGACTAAACGTTATTGGCCAAAATTACCTTGCCAGTGATACAGCAGCCTTCTGAGCCTTTTTCTAGTCATGATATTGATAGCTTTCTGTTCCCATAGCTTACGATGAAGTTGCTTATTTTTGTTGTTCTAGCTTTTCTTTTAAACTTCTTTCAGCGTTTGATTTAAGAAAAGTTAGCAAACTCTTCGCAAGTCTTTTTCTATTCATTATGTTAATCTTGGCTCTAATTTGTTCTAAGTCTACTTTCTTTGGAGGCTCCGGAACTTCTGGACTATTATCTGGATTCTTATTTAAAACTTCTGGCTCTTTCGACTCTTCCTTGGCATCTTTTGACTCTTCTTTAGAATCGTCTGGTTGCTTGTTCAACCCATTTAAGTCATCTTTAGTTTCATCGGAATGAACTGGTTGATTATTATCAATGTCTTCTTGGTCATCTTTGGTTTCTTCTTGGCTTTCTTTCTCTTGGTTATTGTTGTTGTTTCCAATAGTATTCTTAATTTTATCTATCAATTCTTTGTTCTGAGCTAAAGATATCTTAGAATTAGATTATGGAAGCATGCAGGAGAAAGTGTGATTAGGCTTAGACCTTTTTAATCTACATTGTATATACCCACTATTTATATGCTTCTGATGAAGATTGCCAATTTAAGCTTTATTAGCATATTTTGCATTTGTAATAATAAGAACTTACATAAATTTTGCCCCTGCTTTGATAGATCAAGTTGGCTGTCCTCCATTTAAATATTTAAATCTATAAAAGCCCCGCAAATGGGGTTTTGGGGTTTTGGGGTTTTGGGGTTTTGGGG